GCCTTCGATAGGGTAGCAAAAGTCAAAGATAATTGAAATTGGCTTAAAAGAGTCAAACCTACCTCAGATTAGCCTAAAAGAATTAAAACCTATCATAGATCAGCTACCAAAAGTCAAAGCTAATTGAGATTTGCTAATAAGATTCCAATCTAGATCAGATCAGCTTAAAAGAGTCAAATTTAAATCAAAAAAATCTAAGCTTGAATAAAATTCTCAAAAATTCAAAATCTGTTATCTTATCCCAAAACTTTGCATCATGAAATTGAATAATTGAACTCCGCCCTTTTAATTATTTTCAATTTTCATTCCATACACAAAATGAAATAAAATAAAAATAAAAAAAAAGTTCTCATTGTTGTATATTTTCCCATCAGCATCATATTTACATCCTTCCTACCTCTTTCAACATACATGCACATGATACTAGGAAAGGAGTCGAAGGAGAAAACATGCTGCGAGCAACAACATTTCATCATTGTGCACTGATACACATAAATATCGTCCTTATGTTTCACATAGTCTATGCTTAAGAGGAAGAATAAAGGAATGAGAAGCGAAAAAACTTTTTTTTTTTGTGATGAATGAAGACAGAAATGGAAATATCTATGCATAGACATGAACAGATTCTGAATTTTCATGAGAATTCTTTTTTTTTCGTTTTGTTTTATTTTCATTAAGTGAATGAATTTGATTATAGTCAGTGCTGCTGTATTTATGTGGGTGGATAGGACATCGAGAATAAATTTTAGTGCTGATTCAGGAATTTTCGGAGCTTTTTTCAAGATTTCTGAATGTAAAGACAGACTTTTGAGAATTTAGAGCAAGTCTGAATTTTGTCTCTTTATTGTATGTTGATCTGAGCTAGGTTTGACTCTAAGTAGCTGGAATTGGCTTTACCAGATAATTATTAAATTAATAGAAATCCAAATAAAATGCGCTTAATTTGATCAAATTTAAAATTTACTGAGTTTTGTTGTTTTAAAATTAAGGCTTTTTAAACAATTGTATTTCGAATAGCACAAATCGGGAAATCGAATTTCGGAGCTAAGCTGACATGATGCTGGGATGGTGCTGGCTTTAATTTAAATCCAATGTGTCAGATTTCTGATCGATTAACCGACTTGTTCCATTCGGGTATCCTTTACCCATTCTAAACCCGTTTTTTCTTTATTTTGGTCAGTTAATTCCTGTAAAAATCTACAAAATTCCCCAACAGAAATCAAAATTCTTAGAAAAGTCACCAGAAACAACTGCTGATGCCATCAAAAAATAAGCAAAAAGGGCCTTTATCTCCTGTTCCTTAATCAATACTAACAACTTAGTCATCAAACTAAATCTTGTGGTCATTTTGCGGTCATTACATTTCATCCTTAAAAAATCCTCAACTCATTAAAACTTTTCATGGCAATTAAAATCCTTTTTTTCCACTTCTAACTCAGCTCACCTCCCCTCAAATTCTCATAGGCAACAATAAAAGAGAGTAAACTATCATCATGATATCGTTAAAAAGGGATTGACATGCTTAACATCACCACAAAAATTTTGAGTTTGTTGCAGCAGTTTTTCCTGGTCATTAACTTTTTTAATGGCCTAATGCTTATTTGTTAATTCTGAAAGGATTTGTTGCTGTTACGGTGATGATTACGGTTGGCAAGCAGGCAAAGTGGGGTTGGATGAGATTTTCTTTTTTGGGATTTACACACAAAAAATGAGTAAAAAAGGGGTTAATTTTGCAGGATAGAAATTTTTTATGGACGTAAATGAGGATACGCTAGGTGATTATGGAAAAGGAACTGAAATCTCAGAGAAAAAGGTGGAATTGTTAAGAAACAAATGAAAATATCCTTGAATTAAGAATCGTAAAGTCTAATTTTCTTTAATTTTTATGACAAAAGAAGCAATTATGGATGTAAAGTCATAAAATTGTTGTAAATATGTTGAGATTAAAATCAAATATTGTCGCTCGAGTTAAGAAACTAAAATATAGTTTAGATCATCTTTAAAAAGTAAAATATTGCATAATCTAGCGTTAAGTAAGCAAATGAGAGGATATTCAAGCTAGGAAGGACTGACATAAGATTACTCTATATGTTAAGGCTCACTAGTAGCTTACAGACAAGTGATAGCTCAAAAAAAGTTTTAAAGATGCTCTTTTGGTGGACAAAACATTATTTGTGAACCATTTAAATGCCATGAAATTTTTATGTTTGAAAAAAATTAAAATAATTTCAAAATTCATTGAATTAAGTCTTTTAAAAATAGATTCTTAAAAAGCAATAAATTTTACTTTTCAGAACTGACTCTTTAATACCCAACTTTATAGTTTTATATTTATAGGTGAAATGAGTAAATTTGCATATTTTTGGAGAAAACTAATCCTTTAGATACTTTTATTTATTTATTTTAGAAAATATATAAACTCATTTTGTGTAGTTGATTAAATTTTTTTGGGAATTAATTAAACTACAAAGCTACTAGGGTGACTAATCAACGTTATTAATGTTGAATTGTAAGTCGCCGATGAATAAATCAGTTTGATGGATTTAAGTAAGCTTAATAGGTGTGTTTTAAAACTTTATTTGATTTATAATAAGTTAAAAATGATTATAAATTCAATATTGAATTGCAAGGAGATTTAAACGTGTTAAAGAATCATTTTGTTGGCTAATAAAGCCACGACATAATGTTCCATTCAACCAGAATGAAGTTTCTCAAAATGACAAGCTAATATCTTGATAAAGACTTAAAAATGAAGCTAAAGGTAGATGTTGTGCCATATTATCACCAAAAACACCATTACTATGTATTACATAGTTTAAGCAAACTTTTCAGAAAAGCTTCCGCTAGTGTCTTTAAACTTTTTTGTTCGGCGACAAATTTTTTTTTTTTGATGGTGAGCTATGACCAAAACTGTCCACACAGAGTATCGCGACGCATAGTCTGGAATTCACTGCTTTAATCACACTTAAATTGTGCTTGAATATCAAAATATAATTCACCGAATTAAGTTCTGCAATGAGATGAACCTAGCAGCCCCAGAAACCAGCTCCAGAATTCAATTACAGCTTAGATCAATTCAGAAAACTAAACTTCTTTGAGTATGAAAATTTAAATTATATATATTAGGTGATAAACAATTGAAAAGGTTCAAAATATTTTCAATTTCGGTACATATCTCAAATAATCCATAAAAACATCAACACATACCAAAAATAAAACTCCAAAAATAAAGCATACACGAAAAAGGATGGACAATCCAATACACATCTCTAAAACAAATAAGAACCAGACCGAATTCAATAAGAATGGAAAAAGGAAGTGAAAATTATTTTTACGAAAAATTTACTTTTTCCTTTTCAAATTTAAATGTTTTTTTTTCAAAATATTTTATTTAAATTTCAACAAAAGCAATAAATTTATTTTAATTCCTGAGGAAAAAGTAAACAAAATGTGGCAAAAAGAAGTAAAAAAATTGAAAAGGAAGACAAAAAAGTTTTTCACATGAGAAATGAAATATTTTCTGTTGTTTATTTTAACTTTTGAATGGGATAAGTGATGATTTTAATTGTTTTTTTTGTGTGTGGATGAGATGGAAAATTGGGGGTAAATTGGTTTTCATGTCTCGATTGATTTTATGTTTGTTTTATGGACATTAGGGCGATGGAGTTACAATTTTAGAAAAGTTTTTGTTTTTAAAAAATTAATTCTTTTTTTAAAAACATGAAAAAATTTGAATTAATTTATTAAAAAACAGAAAAAATTTAAAATAAAATAATTATAATTTTTGAATTTTTTTAAAAATTAAAATTTTTTTAAAATAAATTAGATTTTTTAAATCAATTTTAAATCCTACTCAAAACTAAAATTTCAATGAATAATAAAATAAGCCAAAAGCACCATTAACAAAATAATCATGAAGGATTCACAGAACTCAAATAAACCCACATTACATCTCCTAAACCATCATTAATAAAATTTCATCCAACACAAAGTAGTCTTTAATGCCTCGCGGCTATCAAATTAAAGCTCATAACTTTTTTTTTGTATTCTTGATAGCGCCACTCAAAAATCTTCGCGAGATTTTCATCCCCACGCAAAATTCTAAACAATTTTTAAAGCCATAAACGAAGACTTTAGCGGTTAAACGTTGTGGAAAATTAAGAAATCAAGGAAAATTTTTGGAAAATAAAATAAAATAAAAAATTGCTGAGAGGCATCGAAGAGGGGTTGGATGTTAAGGAAGAAGAAAAAGTTTTTATGACTTTTATTTATTTTTATCCTGATCTAAATATATCACTGCTTTATAGGCTCTACTTACTGTTAAATACAGTCACAAAGATATTTTAGCAATTTTAAATTTTTTTTCCGGGTACACGAACTTGACTTTATTTCCGAAAATGAATTAGATTTGTGGTTCATAAATGAATGAATGCGAAAATATTATGAAAATCGATAAAAATTGCTTTAAGGACTGACTCATTTTTTTCTGCATGATGAAGCGGTGATTTCAATGATGATGAATCTGTGTTAGACACGACCTTGCGAATTTTTTGCTTATTTGACTTGAATTTTGTGAATATTTTGAATTTAAAATGGTTTTTTTATTTCAATTGGTTTGAAGAACTGTAATCGTATCAAATTATTGGACTCAACATAACGTAAACTCTTTGCAATATTAGATCTAAAAATATGGCTCGAAAAGCATATTTGAAGTAGAAAGGCTTGAGCATAGGGCTCGCTTTGATCTGGTTTTTTGTGTATGACAGAAAGCCGAAGTGAGATAAGTACCTCGTAGGCAGGGATCGCCTCTTTTGAGGTCGTTGGTTCAATTCCCATCGAACCCGACTTGTTTTACATTACACATATAGCAGTTATATGAAGATCTACAAAATCAACCCTTTTCAGCCCTCAAAACTTAATAAACTCAATAAAATTTACAAGAATTCCTATTTCAGCCGTCGTCTTTAAACTATTCATTAAATTGCAGAAAATAAACTCACCTTTTTTATTTGATTTTTATATTCAACGTCGTTCATAGCTCGTTCATTATGCTGATTTGATAGATTAACAGTTCCATGCTCACTCCCGTTATCACCGTTTTCGTAAAATTCATTACTGTTATTATTTAAGTCGTTATGGAATGATGATGAGTTCAACAGACTTGAGGAATTGTGTTGGGTTGATTCCTGAAATTATATTGAAAAAGAAGGAAAAATTGTAAATAAGTGTCGATGAAATTTAAATTCATTTAATTAAAATTCTAAATCAAAAATATAAATAATTTGTTAAATTCAATGTTTGATTTACGACGATTAATAAACGACAAAAAAAGATTTACAAAGCATTAGTCCCATCGGAAGTCAATGAACATCCACAATTTTACTCTTTTTTTTACATTACAAAATTGCATTTGAAGCTATGAAAAAAAAAAACTTTTCATTTCTATTTTAAATACAGGAAGTAAAAATGCTCGCAATGCGATAGAAAAACTACACAAAAAAGAAATCTTTTATTTTTCTTTCACTAAGCAAACACAATGAAATAAAATGATAATTTAATAAAAAATTTATTTATGGTCGTTAGTAAAAATAAAACATTTGTAAATCGATATTCAATGCCCGAGAATTACGAGATGGAAAATTTATTTATTTAAAAATTTGTTTTTCGCAGGTTTTTATTTATTTCTTCAAAAATGAAAATTATCGACAGAGAAAAAAAAATAAGAAAATGATTTTGTTGAATATTCAGCAGACGGGAGAGAAATAGTTGGAAATGATGCAATAAACAAACTGCCTGCTGTCTTCACTCTTGTCTATCCTGTTGAATCTTTGCTCTTTTTGCTTGTTAGCTCATTTTTTGAGTTAATGGTTTGTTTTGTAGGTTTGGCTATGTTTTTGCTTCAAAGCTGAAAAATGTTTGGTTTAAAGATATGAAATTTAGCTCAAAGATGGGACATTTGGCTCAAGGATGCGACTTTTGGCTCAATGATGTAAATGTTTCGCTTCAAAAGATGCAAACTTCTCCCTCAAAGTTTCGAATTCTTACTTCATTGATGCAAACTTCTGCTTAAAATATACAAACTTTTTATGCTCCAAAAATGCGCTCTTTCCACTTTTCTACACATCCGAATCACTTTCAAACTTTCTTTATTTTACTTTCTCGTTTTTCAAAATAAATTTTCATTTTTTTGATGTTTTGTTGATTTTAAAAATAAATTGAGAAAATAACAATTAGAAAATCTTTTTTTTTCTCCTTCCTGTCCACCTACATTTTAGATATGCAAGATTAATAATAAATATGCACAAAGAGATACTAAGGACCTAGTTTCATCATGCTGACTCTTTTTTAAAAATATTTTTGATATTTTTAAGGCGAATTTAATTAAGAATATTAAGTGGCAAAGTTGAAAAAAATTAAGGTTATGTTTTAAAAAAAATCCATCACAACAAGTTTTTGTAAGGTTATGTCGCAAATTTTGTAAATTTTGAGATTATATGACCTTATCTAAGCTTCTAATTTTCTAACATCAATCCACCACATACCAGCCACTCCCTCCTCCAACTCATTTAAAAATTAATGACAATCGAACAACTCCCAAACGAAAATGTGAAGGCGACCGGAGATTGTTCCCATTTTGATTGAAGATTTTTGTTTACTTTGTAATTGTTAATTGGAAATTGATTTTCGATTATTCCATTTTCTTTACGCTTTTCTTGTTAATTTCCTTTCGTAATGAAAATTTATTTTTATTATAGTTTGAGAGAAAAATAAAAAAAAAAGTTTATTTTGAATTTTATATTATTTTTTTGGAAATGCTGAGTGTTCAAAAGTATTGTAGAGGGGATGAGAAGATGGTTTTTGAGTAGAGAAGTGGAAATTTGGAATTGATTGTTTCGAGATTTGATTGAATATTGTTTAAAATTAATGACTTTTTCATCTTCATGTGTCTAAATTTACAAATTAATGTTTATCAACTAAATATAGATTAGATGTTTTAGTATGTTTAGGATCTGAACTAAGAAAACCCAGATTTTGACTTATGTCATATAAAAGTTGATATTTTTAGATTCCAAATGTTGCATGGGCCTACTTAAGGCTAAACATAGAAGCTTCTGAAAGCGGTTAAAAGCCAAAAGGAGCAAATGGAGCGGTTCATTAAATGAATTTCTTGATCTAAAACTTTCAGCAAGCCTTTAAATAATATATCAAGTATATGAGAGTCTTTACTCTTTTATATAGAAGTAGGTTTTATATTATGACGGATTTTTAAAAAGCCGCTGCATTAATCAACCTTAATTGTGTTTAATTTCCTTTTTTCTGCAGTTTTAGGATCTTAATTGACTGAACCTTTTCCAAAATCTTCTCGAATTTCCAACATATTCAATACAAACCACAAATTAACTCTCAGAAATCCCAACATCTAAAGGCAGTCAAAAATCCACAACATCATCAAAAAAACAAACAATCAAAAATGCACGCAAAACACAAAACACAATGAAAAACAAGCAATAAACACAATATTCAATATTCATAACTTGATTTCCATTTATTATCCCAATATTCTCTACGATTGTTTGCTTCTCTCTTCCTCACCAAAGCATTTTGTATTCATTTTACCACCCGCAATTTCATTAACCACAATAACGATAATTACACATTTCTTGCCACAGAGTCAGCAGAAAAAGATGTTTTGCAATTTATTTATGTAGAAAAAATATTAAGATTGTGTACAAAAATAGAATTGTGAGGAGCGAAATAAAGATGTTGGACTATGGTGGAAGTTGGAGGATTATAGTGTGTAGGTTGGGGACAGGGATAGAATATAGGACCACTTAATGGACTATATGGACTACAACTTTAAATGTTGATCATTAGCTACAAACTAAAAGGAGAAAGTGGTTTTGCACCTTAATTATGGATAAAGACCTCACGAATTTTTTTTTGAGTTTATATCCTTGACTGGTTTAGTTTTAGCCAGGCGCGAAGCCAGGAATTTTTTCGATCGGCTTAAATTTCGGCTTAAAATCGTTTAACTTGAAATTCTGAGCTTATTATAGCTACATGCTGACAAAATATTACACAGAATCATAGTAAAGCATGTAAAGTTCAATTTAAATACTTGAAATGTGTGTTAAATGGCTTTTTTCTATCAAAAAAATCAAAAATCGAGTTAAGCCGAAAAAATCGGCTTCGATCTCTGATTTTTTTTATAAAAACCTTAGCAAAATAAAGAAATTTCTGTTTACGTTGGGGGATTTGTCCCCCAACCCCTCCCCCCTGACTACGCGCCGGGTTTTAGCTACTTTAAGTATATCTCTTTTAATATTTGCCCATGCAGCATCTAGTATGCACTTCATAGTCTTCTTAAACACATTATTAAGTTCCCAGATTTCTCCCATACCACACAAAAACCCCTCACTAACCTCAAATATGATGTGATGATAGCACGAACCAAAAATAAAAGTAAAATAAAAAAAAAGACAATTTCCAAAAGAAGACAACATTTTTCCCATCACTTTATGCCACTTTATGTTTCTGTGTGCTTACACATTATATTTGCAATATTAATGCTATTGCTGCCGATACTGTTGCCATGAAGGCATCAAATGGAAGATTTCTCCGTTTTAGATGTTTGTTGATGGCTTTTGGGAATGGGAAAAGAAAAACATAAACAAAATCGACACACAACAGAACATCAGGCATGTGTTTGCTGTACAAGTTCTATTCATTTCTGCTGATTTCATCGAAAATTGAATTGAATTGGAATTCGAAGATTGTGCATATCTAGAAAATATGTTTATATGTTCGGACTTTACGTGAACTGGATGCAGGGGTGTTGTACTGGATTAGGTGAAGTTGGTAGATTGTTTTTGCAATTGTTACCTCAAAATTGTCAAAAATTCAAATTCTAACCTCAAAATTGTCAAAGTTTCAAATTCTAACCTCAAAATTCACATTCTAACCTCAAAATTGTCCAAAATTCAAATTCTAACCTTAAAATTGTCAAAAATTCAAATTATTACCTAAAAATTGTCATAAAATCAAATTCTAACCTCAAAATTGTCAAAAGTTGAAATTCTAATCTCAAAATTCACATTCTAACCTCAAAATTGTCAAAAATTCTAACTTTAACCATAAAATTGTTAAAAATTCAGATTCTAATCTCAAAAATTATCACTTCCGATTTTTCACTATTCAAAATCGTTCGAAGTATGAAACAGTCTATCGACGATCTCTGAAAGCGGCAAGAAGGTAAGGAGGTACGTTAGTTGGTATTCAAAGTAGCCAGTCCCTTTTCTAAACCCAATAAAACAGACAATAATACACAAACAAACTACTATAACAAATTTATAGGTAAATAGATAAACACAGTCGGATAGAATGCAAAGATTCGTAAATGAAAATCATCATTGCGTGCGTATAAACAAAATGTGAAAATCAAGAAGAGATGGAGAAAAAAAAAAATTTCATCGTTGGAGATTGGAAAGGAAGAGGAGTCGGGGAGAAAATTTGTGTTTATTTCGGAAAATCGAATCAATAAACAAACTCATTTCGATAATTAACAGGAAATCAAAAAATATTTCGCTTGCTCTTTTAGATTTTCTTTGTTGTTTTGCTTCTCTTATGGTTTTCTGTTTTTGTGGAGTCTGGGGTGGGGTGGGATGCATGATGACGTTAAGATAAGTATTAGGATCTCTTCTAGTAAAAAATAACCTCAAAATGAAGAATAACCTTACAGAACCTAACCTTAAAGTTTAAATTTTTATCAAAACCTACCTAATTTCTAGTAATAAAACCCAATATCCCAACTTCTATCCCCTCACTCTCTGTTTTGATCCCATAAAGCCATACTCCAAATTGAGAAGCAAGATAAACCAGGGGTTATAGAAAATTATCGAGCGGATATCGCATGGAGATAAATGAGGAATTTACTTCTTATTTACTTCTCATTCTCTTAGATATTTTGGCATGTATATCATTTGGAATTCCATTTAATTGCCACCATTAGTAAAGTCCAATCGTGCAATAAAAAAAATGTTTTGTTTTTATCGACAGTAAAGATGAGAAGTTGAAAGAGAGAGGGAGTTAAGGAGGCAGCGGAAATTTGTTTGTATTTTTATTTCCCGCGCGATGAGAAATTTTGCATATTGCCTTTGATTTTTTTTACTTCTATGTTTTGCATATGGTATATTTTGATTTTAACTTTGAGGATTTTGTTTTATTCGACGACGGCTTTTTAGGCTTTTGTTTGCTTTATATTTGCTTAAGAAAATAATAAATGTTGATATTTTAGATATATTTGTGTACCTTACTTTTGTTTTCTCACAAAATCTCGAAGAATTATTTTTTATATTGAAAATCTTTTTTCTTTGCTTTTCTTCTTTCTTGTGGTTTATATTTGCATATGAAAACAAAACTTTTTAGGGTACCAAGGGATGAGAAACAGTAGTCGTATAGCTAGTTGGATCATCGAGAATCCTTTGACATATGATCGAGAGTGACTTGAGTCGAATAATTGAGAGTGACTCTAGTCGGATAATCGAGAGCGACTCTAGTTGGATAATCGAGAGTGATTCTAGTCGGATAATCAAGAGTGACTCTAGTCGGATAATCGAGAGTGACTCTAGTCGGATAATCGAGAGTAACCTTAGTCGGATAATCGAGAGTGACTCTAGTCGGATAATCGAGAGTGACTTTAGTCGGATAATCGAGAGTGACTTTAGTCGGATAATCGAGAGTGACTTTAGTCGGATAATCGAGAGCGACTCTAGTCGGATAATCGAGAGTGACTCTAGTCGGACAATCGAGAGAGACTTTAGTCGGACAATCGAGAGAGACTTTAGTCAGATAATCGAGAGTGACTTTAGTCGCATAATCGAGAGTTACTTGAGTCGAATAATCGAGAGTGACTCTAGTCGGATAATCGAGAGCGACTCTAGTTGGATAATCGAGAGTGATTCTAGTCGGATAATCAAGAGTGACTCTAGTCGGATAATCGAGAGTGACTCTAGTCGGATAATCGAGAGTGACTTTAGTCGCATAATCGAGAGTGACTTTAGTCAGATAATCGAGAGTGACTTTAGTCGCATAATCGAGAGTGACTTTAGTCGGATAATCGAGAGTGACTCTAGTCGGATAATCGAGAGTAACTCTAGTCGGATAATCGAGAGCGACTCTAGTCAGATAATCGAGAGTGACTCTAGTCGGATAATCGAGAGTGACTCTAGTCGGATAATCGAGAGCGACTCTAGTCAGATAATCGAGAGTGACTTTAGTCGCATAATCGAGAGTGACTTTAGTCGCATAATCGAGAGTTACTTGAGTCGAATAATCGAGAGTGACTCTAGTCGGATAATCGAGAGCGACTCTAGTTGGATAATCGAGAGTGATTCTAGTCGGATAATCAAGAGTGACTCTAGTCGGATAATCGAGAGTGACTCTAGTCGGATAATCGAGAGTGACTTTAGTCGCATAATCGAGAGTGACTTTAGTCAGATAATCGAGAGTGACTTTAGTCGCATAATCGAGAGTGACTTTAGTCGGATAATCGAGAGTGACTCTAGTCGGATAATCGAGAGTGACTCTAGTCGGATAATCGAGAGCGACTCTAGTCAGATAATCGAGAGTGACTCTAGTCGGATAATCGAGAGTGACTCTAGTCAGATAATCGAGAGCGACTCTAGTCAGATAATCGAGAGTGACTTTAGTCGCATAATCGAGAGTGACTTTAGTCGGATAATCGAGAGTGACTATAGTCGGATAATAGTGAGCGACTCTAGTCGGATAATTGAGAGCGAATTAAGATTGTCTTCATCTTCAGTTTCACCATTCAAAGTCAAATTCATTTTCAAACTTCTTTATATCACCATCGATATCTTCACACACCAAAAAAGAGTCTTTTTATAACTTTTTGTTTTATTTTCCTTACTTTTCATGTTTGACGAATAAATAATGCAAAAAATAAACATTTTCAAAATTTTCTTTGCTTTGTTTTCTTTTCGTTTGTTTATTTGTGGGAATTTATGAGCGAGTATGTGCTTTAATGGCAAGATAGTATGAGTTTTTTTTATTAAATTTCGTTATGTACGCTTAGTTGATATGTTAAAGATAAAATAAGATAGGTTCAATTTTTTTAAAACATTTTATTAAAATTTTGATTTAATTTTAAATCATAAAAACAAAAGAAATCAAATAAATTCACAAAAGGTGTTCTTCAATCCGTCGTATCTATTTTTGCATGCATTATTACTTAATGAATGAGAAATTTCATATTTTTTTAAAATCCAAAAAAAAATCCGTGAGATAAAAAAATATCGAAATATTTTTTAATTCGTTTCGCAAATATTTGCACTTTTTATTTAAATCAATTGTGATGATGATTTTGTGCCTCTTCATATAGCAAAGTAAGCGATTGTCAATTTATTTATTTGCACTCGTAAAATAAAAAAAATCAATTTGCAGATCAGATAGACTTGAACAATTGGTTTGAGATCAAGGGATGGTCAACTGTGATTTATTTAATTTTGTTATTGTGAAAATTTAAAATTGAGGGAAACCTTGTCGGATAATCGAAGCAAATATTAATAGATAATCGAAGTCGATCCAGTCAAAAAACCAATGAAAGATAAATAAAAACCTAGCCATATAATTGAAAGAAACCTAATCGGAAAATAGAGAGAATCATAGCCGGATAATTGAGAAAAACCTAGGCGAAATAATCAATGAATATCCAAGAACCCAAACCCTGCATATTCAAACCAAAAATTTCATTTCAAAAGCTCTCATTTTTGTGTCAGAAAAAAAAAATTGTATTACTCGAATTTGTTTGCATATTTCATAATAAATCAGTTAAAATTTACTTTCCCAAATTTGATGAACAATTTTATGAAATATCGCAACGAACACAAAAAGTGAAAAGAGAATAAAAAGAGTAAATCAAATGTGGAGTGAAGGACTTGAATGAGAGTGTAATTGAATGTAAACATGATGATAGACTATTGACATGATATGGGTGATGAGTTACAAGAGGATTTTTTTTCAGATTTATGAGTAATAATTTTTAAATATTTTTATTTCACTTATTTTCATGTTGTTGAATATTTTGTGAGCTTGTCAATATTTTTTTTGTAATATTTTGTATACAATACATGTTGCTAGTCAACACTACAAGTTTTTTTGCGGATTATAAAATTTAATAAAAATGAACTTAAAGATTTATTAAAACTTCAAAAAAGAACAAAGTTTTTAAAAAATCCCGAGTTTTTGAAAAATTCAAATAAAAAACGTTGAACTGCAGTTCAACAGTTAACTGTAAAAAAATCAAATCAACTTTTAATTGAAAAATTTCTTAAATTACAATTTTTATATGTTGAATAATATTTTGCCACAATCATCAAAAATCTCAGGTGAAAGCATAAATATTAAAAAATCAATATCAAGAAAAATTCATTGCACACATTTCACAGCAGATGTCAAAGATTGTCGAAATTATTGCCAAAAAAAGAACCAAAATATGAAAAAAACTCAAATGACAAAAAAAGTTTGGTGAAATTTCAGTTTTTTGTTATTTTATTTTATTTTATGTTTCGTATTGTTGTTGTTGTTTTTGTTGTTGTTTTGTTTTGTGGGCGGAGTTTTTCTCAGTGTGCTGTGCTGTGTTATTTCCTTTTTCTTATTGCCAATGCTTTTTTCGATACACAACAGAAAAAGGTTGTTAAATGATTTTTTTTTTCTTCTCTGTTTTGTGCTTTTTTGCTTGTTTGTCGCTGTTAGCTTTTTTGGATTTGAATGTTTTGGTGTAATTTGAATGGAATCAGCTTTTGTGGGGAGGATTTTAAATGTTAATTGTAGTTTCTAATTTAAGTGTTAGTCCAATTTTGAAAACAAATTTAATTGGATTTTTTTTTATTTTTAACTAAACATGATATTAAGTTCTTAAGTCTGATGTTGTAGATGACAAACTCTTGAAGAGAATCTGTTAACAAAGACAGTATTAAACTTGATATTGGTAACTGGCAATTGGTAGCCAGCGATAGAGCCAGCTTCAGGTACCATATAAGGGAGGCAATGGATCACAATTTATCTTTAAGGCCGAAAAAATAAGTAAGAAGGTTACTAAATATGATTGACCTCTGATATAACTCAAAATAAAGCAGAAGCTATAGTCTTAGTCTGAGTGAGTCTAGACCAGAATTCAGTTGTTGAAACAATTTACAAAACCAAGAAATAAATTGAAAATTAGCAAAAAAAAGCTTACAAAAATATTTTCTCAAGTCTTAAAACTTTCTAACTTCCTTCATAGAAAAAGTATTGATTTTCATTGAGGTTCATTGAACATATGAGAAGACTTCTGATTTCTTAGATCTCATTCCATACTCTTCGAAAACTTTCCATCATTCCTTAACAAATTTACAACAAGTTTCTTAGTTCCAAGAAATATTCCTCAGCCAAAAAGCCTTGAACTTAAAGCCTCAAACTTCAATTCAACATTTTTTTTTGTCATCCATAACAAGATAAATTCTTCCATTCAAAAATTTTCACCTTCGTGCCAATCACAAAAATTTCTCAGCAACATCATCGACTGGTCTTCTTGTCGATTGGGACAAAATGAGACACAACAACAACAAATCAGAGAAGCATCATTTTTTTTCATGTGCAGAAGAAGAAGAAAAGGCGCGACACAACAAGCAACAACAACAGAGAAGAAAAAAAAAGGAAATTCAAGGAGCCTCCGACAGAGAGAAAAAAAAGCACATAAAAGCTCAAGCACATGCGCCATTTGATCCGGTCCCCATCCATTTTGGCCTTATGTACAACTTTACAAGTCGTCGTCGTCGTATCTTGCTGTATATAAGACGATGAAGCTATGATTGTGTGTGAGAATTGAAAAAAATAAACTCAAAGGTAAGAGAAAGGAAATTTTTTGATGATGCAAGCAGAAAAAGCTTCAATGGAATCATTGAGAATTGCGGGAAAGGGCGCAATAGCTTCCATTGGGCTTGTTTCATGGGATTTTTATGATTTATGAATCCGTACGATATTTGACCCGATAAACTCTGAGTTTAGGAATGATGTTAAGCTTTAGATCAATTTAGGTATGATGCTCGCTTTTAAACCAGTTTAGAGATGACTGTAGATTTGACACAACCCTCGATTAAGGTATGATATCTAGAACTACCGTCTGTATTGTATTACCAGATTAGATAATGTTTTTGACCAACTTACAGATGAAGACCAACTCATGACAACCTACAATCCCCACAAAATCAGCCAAAGGACAAATTGTAAAAGAACTCTTAAAAATCGATCGAGTAGTCACAGACTGAGACACTGATAATCAATGACATGGAAAAACTGACAACTGGAGGTGAATTGGAAGCAAAAAAATCTTAAAGAAAAAATTTCCGAATAGGCACAAAAAGAATTTTTGAGCATAAAGTAAGAAACTTTAATGGAATCTCACATATATTGCGGTTGCGTGTGACTTTAAGGCAATGCGAAAAAGGAACCAAAAAAATGTCTGCCGTCTCTTCTTTCTCTTCTCTTTTGATATTTGGAATGGTTATGGATGAATGTCTTCAATGTCATTATCAGTGACTAAAAGAACAAGAACAACTTCCCTTGAGAATCTTTTTTTTTACTTTTTTGCTGCTGTGCTGAATGAAATCAATGAGATGATGAATGACAAATGACTTTTTGTGTGTGTTTGAAGATTTGGTCGTCTTTAAGAAAATCGAAGAATGGCAAAAAAAGTTTTTTTGGTTTGTTTGATGGATTTTAAGTTTCTATTTGAAGGTTGATTGGGATTTTGTTGTCTATTTTTAGTTGGTAGACTTGAAGGATGTGATGATGAATTGTTGTGGAACTGGAGTTTATTTTTTTCTTCATAAAATAAAAGCTGGATGAGTTAATATGGTTTAATGGAGCTGCTGTCAGTGTTTTATCACCTGACTATTTAAAACAATTCAAAGGGATGACATTTCACTTAGAAATGGGCATTGAGCTAAAAACAGTCATGCCTGAAAGCATAAATCATTAGATTCATACTTAAGACACAACTCCTAGCATATATTGAACATTTATATACACAACAGGAAGGAACTGGATCGATTATCTTGAATCGAACCCGGGTCCTTAGGGTTGGTGGGTCAACACTCTAACCACTATGCCACTGCTGCTTTTTTGCTACTCGGACTTTTGACACTAATGAGTGTAAAATGAGCAGATGCTACAGCTTAAACTAAGTACAAAGCGTCAACATCCATCATACAACATCCAAACATCAGCATATCATCAAAAATCCAAATAAGAATTCTCGCAACAAAATAATCATCGCCATAAAAATTGGTTCCATCCTTCTTTTCACACACAAACTTTTTTATTTCCTCTTTTTTGCTACCTTTTCTCTGTAGCTTTTTATTTTGTTGCTGTTTTTGTTTCTGTTATTTTTTTCTGCCTTCTTCTTTCCATTCCTGTGTACAAAGCTACAGCAACAAAAAAAAAGCTGTAAATGGAAACAAACACCGCCTCCTTTTTCCATACAGCTTCATCTTCAACATTTTTTTTTTGTTATCTTTTTCTTTCACATTCTATTCTCTTGTTTGTGGATGTGCTTATAATCTTTTATTTTATTTCATCTTTCTTTGTTTCATTGCTGTTTTTATTTAGTTGCTGTGTACCTTGAGGGGTTCTGTTTGTTTATGAGAAACATTTTGTTACTTTGTTATGCTGCAATCTTCGATGATAAATTTGAAAATTTGGGATTATGCGAAACTCTTAGCAAACAGCTTACCCGAATGGCACAAGTCGGTTAATCGAATATAAATCTGGCGCTTAGTCGGCATGGCTCTTGAATGGTGCTGGGTTTGATTTAAATCCAGCACCATGCCAGATTCACACTAGCTTGGTGCCGGATTTCTGATCGATTAACCGACTTGTGCCATTCAGGTTATCTACAGGCTTTACAGTGAACAAATAAATCTGCACTGCCAAGTCAAAAATGCAGGCGATGAGTTAAAAATAAACAACCGTCAACAATATAATCCTACAATATCTACATCAGCAGCAGCAGCAAAAAACAATCCAGAAATCTGTTACAAAACATAAACATTTCAACCAACAACAATAATAACAAAATTCAGAATTTAAAATTTCAGTTCCATAGTCATTATGTAAAGTGATCAAAGGAGAATGAAATATTTCGAAATAATCTCCACGTGCATCTAATATTGTGAATAATTCTATAAACAAACTTTCTGATTCATCCAGAGTATATTGTGTGAAGTAAACAACATATTCATGTAATGTGAGTAAATACGCAATATTTAGGTCTCGAGTTATCGATTAGATGAAAATTGAAGATTAAATTGAGGAATTAGAACCTAGAATAAGCCAGTAAACTAGTAAATCATCTCATTTCAAGGAATGATCATTTAGTAATGGCACTAAGACCTTTCACAACATTCCATCTATTGACTCTCAAATATTCGTCAACGAAACAAATAATAAAATCTGTCAACTTGATCCAGTAGTTCTCAAACTATGTGCCTCGAAAAAACATGTTTTGTGATTTCAAAAAGGTCATAAAAAATCATTTAGTGTGCCGCAAAAAATTTTATTTTAAAAAATGTGCCGTGGAACAAAAATTTTTGAGAAACACTGACTTAATGTGAACCCCCATTTGAACTCAATTCAAATTCAGTCATAAAATGAAACTGCAAATTTTTCGTCATACTTTCTGAACTTAATAACTCGCTCATCGCCAACGTTTTAAGTTCAACTTTATTTTTGAGTTCCAAGAAATTCATTATTTGGACAATCGCTGTCTTCTTTATTCTCTGTGCCGCATCTACTTCATTTTTGTTTGTTTGTGATGAGTTTATTTGGTTAAGTGCTGTTGAAACTAAAAGATGTGGAACAAAGATGATTAATGTGGGGTTTCGGAATAAGTATCATGCTGTATAGTGAAGATTTGCTTGACATTATCAATCGTATTTAAATTTGTGAGGATTAAAGTCGGTTTGACCTGAGAGGGTCTATTTCGGCTCAACCTGAGAGGATCTAAATTGGCTCGAACTGAGAGGATCTAATTTTACTCGACCTGATATAATCTAACTTAGCTTGATCCGAGAAGATCTAACTTGGCTCGACCTGAGAGGATCTGACAACTCGATCCGAGAGGATTTAACTCAGTTCGATCTGAGAGGATCTAACTTAGCTCGACTCAAGAATATTCTAATTCATCTTAAGAAAAAAAGTAAAACTAAACTCGATTAAAGAGTATCAAATTAAAAAAACCATGAAATAAAGAAAGGTTCGCTCACCCTGCCCTGAACAAAAAGGCTCTCAATTTCTGTTAAATTTAGTTCCTATTTCATAATCTTAGTTTTAATTCATAAAACAAAATATTTTTTATCATCCTCACATTTTCTAATTCTTCTTTTTTCTCTATTTAAAATTTTTTCACATTTATTTCTGTATTTTATGTCTTCACATAAAAATATTTCATGTCAGTACTTCTTATTTTATTTTTTTGTTTTTTCTGTGTGTCACTAATTTTGTGTACGTTGTTTATTCAGCTTTCGTAAACAAAAATTATTTTTTCTTCTCGTCTGTTGATCGAAAAAAATTCTTCACTCAGTGACTGTTTTTCTATTAATGCATTAAAATTTTTAAAAAAAAAATGTTTGTTTTGTTTATTTTTGACGAAATATGCTTTAAATGTGTGTGAATATATTTACTCTCTATATTTTCTTATTTATTTATTATTATTTTTTCTCATGAACGATGGGAGATGATCGCATGACGGAAGATGAATATGTGCGGGAAAGAAGGATGGAAAGACTGTTTTTGGGGTTTTCATTGTGTTTGCTTTAGTTTGAAAGGAGATGAAGAAGAAATCAGGAAGAAGACAATCGGCAATGGACAGTCTGTGGTTATGAATTAATGAGATCAGCCTTTGATTTGCTGAATAGTTTTTGTGTTGACTGTGAGTCAACGTTATATTTGGAGCCTTTGAATGCTGATGATACTTATTGATTCTATTTGTCAATTGGACTAATTGAGTACAGATCACAAAAGTTGAATTTGTACTCCCCGGTTCAAATCTCACCACCAACCTAGTGATTTTTAAGAAGTTAAGATACTTCGGCTTCTTAGGTGCAGCAGTTTAAGACGTAAGACTAAGAATTCTGCTATGTAAGATGTAGGAACGGGTCAAGAATTATGTAGACAGAATGAGAAAGATAAAAGATGTAAATTCATCATGAAGGGCTTTTACTCGAACGGATCTGGAGACATTGTGACTTACTGATAATTGAAATTGAATTGAGTCATGCTAAATGGGATTTGGAGTTCTTTTGCCATTGCTAACCTTTGTACAAAGATAACCCCGTTGCTAAAGTTGATCAAAAGTTTTTAAACTTTACGACTTTATGCTAATATCATCAAAATGTTTAAACTTGTAGCAAATGTGGCTCAAACCTATTCCGTATCAGCTTTGGTAAAAACGTTTTAACCTCATTAGCTTAACCTGCCTTACACCAAAAACATGTGAAAGTAACAACCTCTCCTAAGATGATTATCCTTGTCACAAATAACATCTTATAATTTTTCAAAAATTATGCATCAAAATATTCCAAAACTCTATTCGCCATGCAACTTTACAGCCCCCAAAAATCAGTTCTCATTATCACAGCAATAACAATCAACTAATTACCATCATTTATTGCCGTAATTACCACAAAATCATTTAAGCATCTGTTATTGTTAAATTTAGAGAACAACATTTTAACACAAAGAGACTCAACAGATCATAAAGTAAAGTCATCTAATTCCATACTAAATCCAATACAATTACACACATGTTGATGATGGAGTCACTTGACTTGTGTGTGCAATCGAACGTGCTTAAAAGGATTTAACAAGTCAACGAGTTTGGAAGGCAAATAAAAAGTTATTTTTTCAAATGTTTTAGACTTTGTTTGTTTTGTGACCTGCAAGAATTTTTTGAATTATTTTAGTGACTTGAGATTGGGAAGAGAAATTATTGCAGCGTACGATATGAAAATAAACTGTCCAATGAGTCGATTTTCATAAATTGTAAATATTTATGGAATTTTGACCCAGATAAATTAGAAAATACATTGTTTAGATTTTAGTTGCAACTTTTGAAGAGACAAAAAGTTGATGAAGATTCACAATTGCAATTGATCGATAAAATTTAAGCAAAATGAAACTGTATGTATTTTTTAAGGAAATCAAATTTCAATTAAACATGATAAAAAATTATAAATAATTTTCAAAAGCTTTAAAGCAGGAATTTATTAATTTACCTTTTAAAATAGAAATTTTCACTTATCTAATAATTTTATTTAAATTTGTCTTATCTATTTTTATCTTTTTTTGATAACCACAGTTTTATTATTTGTTTTATATTGTTTTATTTTAAAAAGTAAGAACAATAAAAAATTCACTTCAAAGTTCCTTCAATGCACAGATATCCAAAAATTATTCTTAAAGATTTTTCTTTAAATTTTAAAATAATTTTTGTTGCAGATTTTTTGATTTTCTACAAAACTTTTTGTTCTAAAAATTCACTTTTTTAACAAAATTCTTAAAATTTTGATTTGACAATTAATTTTTTTAAGCTGTAACAGATCTTTTTCTCAATTGTATTTAATCGAAGTTTTTCTTTTATTTAATTTTATTTTTTTATTTCTTTTGTTTGATTTTATTTTTTTGACAGTATTGTTAAGTTTTTAACATCTTAGACAATAGCTCAATATTAATTTCACTTCTTTATTAATTTTAATGTTATCACAATATCATTTTTTGATTATTTGAAGTCATTGTTATCACTTGTTGATTCACTAATTTCAATTTGAATTCAAGATGATTTTTAAGTTTATTCCAGAGTTTATTCACATTTAATTTTTATAATTTTTTAAATTTTTAAATATTAATTTTTATGTTCCAAGCTCACTCAATTCGTTAATATATTTCAAAAAAATTTCGAATCCTTAACTTTGTTCATAAAAAATCAAAAATTGATTTTAAAATTTCACTTTAATATTCTTAAAATCCTTAAAAAATTTGATCTCTCAAAAATAACACTGCAAGTAAAAAAATCGATTGTTCATCTCATAAACCACTTAACCACGCGAATCATCATCATCAAGTTCATTGAGTGAATCCCTCGTCACTTGTCTGACGTATACATGAACTATAATGAAGGTAATCTATCACCAGAAAGTCTCGCGACACACAAAACAAAAATGACACGAGAGAAAATGTCCCGGAATCTCGACAAAAAAAAGGCCTCAAATGATCCGCTTGCTATCGGCACCACAATCGAAATGGAACTAAAATACATTCAAATAGATTTTTTTAAAAAAAAAAGCGGGCAAATTAAAATATCAAATATAAGTGAACACAAAAACTAACATATGTGTGCTTTTCATTCAATTTTTTGTTTATTTTTCCACAACACAAATGTATTTGTGTGTAAATTTTATTTAATTTTTTTTTGTTTTAAGTTTCTTCGCATTTTTCTTCTCACTCACTCGACTTGCTGAGGCAAATACACATTTTCTTTTGTGTATTTTTCTTGAAATAATGAAGAAAAAAAATGTAAACTTATTATTGTTTTTTTATTTACTCAATATTCTTCTTAATTTTTTTTTTATATTCGTTCCTCGTCTCTTCGTTTCTGTACTTAGTGTCTTTATACTGTATTTTAGAGATTTTCTTTTATTTATTTGTGGGTGCAGATCATAGGATCTGGTCGGTGAAACACTGATGTGAACATTTTGTTGTTGCAGATTTCATGATAATTGTAAGGACGAAAACTACATTGGCAGAATTGACATTTTTAGAACCAAATCTAATGACTTTCATCGATTAACTTGCAAATGGTGTAAAACCAGCCAATTGATTACTAGACCGAATATAATCTCTTTTGGGCAGTAAAAGTCAGAGCACGAAGTCGACTAGAGATTTTCATCAATTTTGTATTATAAAGTCGACTCGACTCCATACAAAATTTTATTGACTTTGAGCTATGGTAAAAGTTTGAACAAAAATATCAATTATCAAACAAAATTTTATTTTTTTCTGATCAAAAACCCAACAAAACCAATGGACAGCCTAATCAAAGGTCTGGTTATTAACTAGAAAATATATCTTATATCTACTCAAGCAGCAAGTATACCATAAAGTTTGCCTATTTGGTTTTATCGTCTTAATTGATGTTTGATTACAACAATTGGCGAGCCAGCTCAAGTCATGACAAGCCATGTATAAATTGGTGTTAAATCAGTGATGGCATGCCTTTCGAAAACAGTATCTCAACATATATTAAACTGTCAAAAAATTAAAGCCATTTTAGCATCATTAATGAAAAGCTTCTCCAAAAACCATGTCATAAGGACATCAACAATAAAGTGTTGATACTTAGCATTTGACTTAAAAAGGTGGACCAAAGCGTAGTAAATTTGAAATCAAAACGCAAGCCTTTTCCTTTGTGAAAGGCAATTTTTTTCACTTTTGCCTTTTTTGTGCTTTTGCAAAAAGCATAACTTTGGTAGATCAAAGGCAAAATCTGGGAAAAGGCAACTTTGTATCAACACTGCAACAAAGAGAAACAGATGAGGAAGTACGGTTGCATTGGCCATAAACTTTGCAAGAAAAATTCCAGAGAGAATGTCAATACTGGGATAGAAACACAAGTTTGTTACACCACTCATGGTTGGAATCCGCAAAGGAAAAGATGTCTAGGAGCTACAAAAGCTACTTGTCGCAGAATAGTGATGTAAGAATGTCAGCTTAATGTGTGGACAGAGAAATTGTACAGACTAGGTGATAGAAAAAGCAATAGAATCAAATCGAAAGCCTTTTGTTGTAACCTAAGCTACACATAGGAACATGGTTACAGCCTGTAACTTACAGGAAGAAAGTGAACAATTCATTTTAATACAAAAATATTAAATTTCTCACATTTGAAATATATTTTTTTTGGGAACTTAGTGCAATTATAGCAAATAGTCTCCAAAATCCACTCCAAATAAAACATAAAACCTCAAAAATCTATTCAAAGCAGCACCAAGAACTCCTCAACATCTAAACACAAATTAAAGATGAGGAATGCAAGTTCGTAAGATTCTCGAGAGAAAAATGTGTTCATAGTGCCGTAAATGTGCCTCAGTAATATACACAATCGCACTGTATATGTTTTCTTTATGTTTTATTTTTGTTTGTTTATAAAACAAAAAAAATGAGAATTTATATAAACGAAATACACAAACATTCCCGCTTTTGCAGTTCGTGTATTTTTCATCTTTCCATATTTTCTGTCTTTCCCTGTACGGAGCACTGTGTAGTCGCTTTACAAAGTTGTTATTATTATTACAGCATGTATACGCATATTTTGCGGCTTTTAAGTGCTCGAATTTCTTGTTTTGTAAATTTTTTTTCTCTCTGTTTCAATTGTTGCCTTTCCATTGCTCACAATAAAAATTTAATGCAAACTTTTGTGGATGGAAACTTTTTTTTTGGTATGCAAATTAAAAATCAGTTCAGTTGGTGGATGAGACAGGGTTGAGATACATTTGAACTAAACTAATTTACTATTAATCCAATGCAGGTTTTTAAAAGCAAAGTTGTACTAGAAACTGGTATTTAGGCTACGAAGGACACTTTAGGATTAAACTTCAATGAACTACACTTTTGGATATGAACAAAATTTGGTAATGACTAGGGTAGGGATGACTAGGGTATACCTAGAAGCTTAACAAAGTAGATGCTTGCTAGATAAGCTCCTGTGGTGTATACCATAACATTATGCTTCAATTCAGCCAAAGCTATAGGTTAAATTGGGTTGTTCCTAACGTTAAATCAAGGAAAAGACATTGAATTAGCTTCCTAAGGTTTATTCTAGGTTTAAGAATAGATTACATTTAGAGATAAGATGTTAAGTAAACAGTCAACTCAAAAACTATGGTTTGAAGCCACATCAGTAAATTTTATTCAATAAAACTGTCAATTCTTAGATACTAGCTTTCTGAAAATTCCAATAAACACTAGCTGCTTCTAAATTGCTACCCTGTCCTTACGACCCCTCACTAGCTTAACCTTTAACCAAAATCAAACAATTAACAACTCTGAAATCCTCCAAATCCACTCTCCTTTCCATCTTTCTCATAACGCAACGAGAAACTTAATGGATTAAACTGTAGACTCATCTTTCAATGAGTTATGTATGTCTGCACATTTTTGTGGATAAACAACACAGTTTCGGATTTATTTGTTTTGTATCGAGCTATTTTGACGAAATCGAGTCTAATGGATTTACAAGGAAAATAATTGTTTTTTATATGCGGATGGTCTTTTTTTAAGTAAATTTGAATTTGTAGATATTTTGAGGTTGTTTTGTAAGAGTTTGAAAGGTCATGGGAAGTGGAAGAGAAATTTGAGGTTAGGTTAAATTTTGGAAAATAAAATTAGAAATTTTAAAAAATTTGAAAAATTTCAAATTAAAGTTTTTAAAAAAGCAATTTTTGAAAAATTTGAAATATTTCAAATTAAAGTTTTTAAAAAATCAAAAAGTTCAAAATCATATTTTTTAAGTTTAACATTTGTAGTTTCAAAAATATATTTAATTTCAAAATGTCAAATTTAATTCAAAATATATTAAAAGTTTAACAACAATATTTATCAAATTTTCATATAAAAATTCAAAAATTTCCCCTTAAAAAGACCAAAAACTAACGACCAACATTCAGTCATCGAGACATTTTTTGTTGTCATCAACTAAACATCACAAAGAAAAACAAAACACACTATTTACATTTCCATTAAAAAAAACTTTTTGTTCGATTTAAATTTTTGTTTTATTTTAGTTTTTTTTATATTTGTTTGTCCTCAAGGCTGATGCCTTGCTTATTTTTCTGTTTAATTGAATTTCGGAACAGTCAAGTGAATTGAGGTTATGAAATTTTGTTGACTTTTTTTTTATGCGATCAGATTTGAGATTTTGATTGTTTGTTGTGATTTTTGGTGCTTTTTAAGGCAAAAAGTTAAATTTTTTGTGGTACCTCATTTGCGAATATTTCCTGTTGCATTTAAATGTTTTTCAATAATTTGCATATGCAATTAAAATTGATGCAATTTTTCTCATTCATAAGATATTAAGTGCTACAGCTTATGATGATGCCTGCTCAGTCTTTACTCAACTTTCAATATGATATCAATAAAGAGAAAATTAACTTTTGCAGTTCTTGTCACATCAGCAATAATTCTCTCGTATGTCTTATTGCAGGAGCAAAAAATCAAGGAACTGATTGAGCTTGATGACATAATGGACATTGATCAGCAGAAGCTTACAGAAAATGACAAAATATTCTTCATTGAATCTCATATTGAGCACATAAGAAATTTTTCGAAATTTAAGTTTGCTTGTTCAATTGAATCTGCAGGTATGTGACTTAATAAATTAACTAGGAATTTGGAAGCAAATCTAAAATTTCAAGTTCCTAATTTTTTAAACAATTATGAATACTTTTCAGCACTACCGTTCTTAACATTGTTAAATCTGCAATAATTTTTTTCAGCTAAAATCAACCCAAACCTACAAGTTCATCTGCTCTTTGCCACAACCTCAAAATCAGTCAAATTAAGTAGATCAAATATTGTTGATGCACTGCTGTCTTATGAAAACATTAATCTAATGTATATTGATGTAATAAAGTTCGCAAGAGGAACAGTTTTAGAAAATTTCATGAAAAATAGTATGTGGAAGCGTTCAAGGTATCCCGTAGTTCACTTATCGGATATACTGAGACCACTAGTGCTGAATAAGTATGGAGGTAAGGCCAGGATGACATTTTACATGAAAAACAAATTAAAGTCAAATAATATAATCAATGTTGATTACTTTCAGGACTTTATTTGGACCTGGATGTTCTCTTTAAAACATCACTATCAGAAATCAACAGAACAAACTTTGCATGTACCCAGAATGATGGCTTAGTTGTGAACAATATAATGCGTTTGGATTTGGAGCAAGGAAAATCTTTAACTGGAGATTTTTTGAAGTAAGACATGTTATATCTACACGTAAGGTTTATGAGTCCAGATATAAAATGTACCTGGACTTAAAAACCTTTAGTCACTTTGATTTTCTGGACTTATAGTCTCTGGACTTATAGTTTCTGGACTTATAACCCAGCATCTTGTTAATTGATCAATTACTTTGTAGCTGGTATCGTCAAAAGAACATACTATTTTGCATATTAAATGCTGATTATAGCTTAAAAAGGTTGAGACCAGAATATTCAATTTTACACTTGATTCTTCTTCATTTATCAATATAAACACTTTGAAGGTTGCCATAAAAATGTCTGCTCCATGTGGGCTTTTAAAGATCTTGAGATTATTGCATAGCTCGAAGTCGACTTGGGATTTTCATCGATTTTGTATGGCACAGTCGACTCCGATTTGACTCGACTCCATACAAAATTTCAAGAACTTCGAGCTCTCTATTATTGCATCCGGTGAAAGAATAATCAACAGTTTTATTCATAAATGAAATATTTTTGCGGTTCACTAGCACAGAGGCGTAGCAAGGAAATTGAAGATGGGGAATGGGGACAAAAACTTTTTTGTATGGAAAAATTTGGGGAGCTGAGGTGGATTTTTGTGCACTAAATCACAATCCCCCCTCTGGCTACGCACCTGTAGAACGTATTTTTTTTTCATTTAATTGCACTTTATTGCATTTATTGACGACATACTGTCTGGTGTAATGGCTGACGGATGAATTGAACCAAATGTCAGGATCACGTTTCTACAATGTCAACATACGTCTTTTTGTGGCTCGGGTTAGACAATGAATTCTGTATACTCACTTAAGAAGAATTTAGAGCTATTGTTTAAGCATCTGCATATGTGGATTAATAGCTCTAATTATCTTGAATTAAAAACACTCCTGAATTTAAGAAATAATTATTTTTAAGGAAAATTGCTAACGAATTCGATGGAAGTTCATGGATAGGTAAAACTGCTACAGACCTGACATTTAGATGAAATAAATTGTGACTGATTTATGAATTTTTCAAGGAAATGGACCAAGAATCTTAACAGAATTAATCAAGCATAAATGTGGCGGTTCGTTTTCAAAACATATTGATGCTAACTGTGACTCCTTTACAATTTTTTCATACAAAAAATGCAACCCGGTATTAAAATTTTGAACTTATTTTTTTAAAATTTTTAATTTTTTTCTCACTTTCTTAGATCATTGCCTCGGATTGGCACAAATATTATCAAGTAAAGTATGCATCAGATGTACTTAAGACTGTTAAGGATGCATATTTTGTGCATTTTTGGAACACTATGCAAATCTTTGACCACAAATCTTATGATATCAGCTTTAACTCTAGATGTGCCTATGCAGAACTAGCCAGAACCTATTGTCCGAAAGTATTCGAGACTTTGAAACAAACCTCAAGTTGATTTAGCATCTAAGATACCTAAAAAGTGTCAAATGATGTCACTTATAGCTATAAGACAGCACAAAACGTATCTAAGTACAGCACAATATTGACTATTCTGTCGAGTCAACACAAATAAAAATAAATAAACAAAAAAAAATATTTTGCGAAACCAACAACGTATGATAATCACCATATGCCTAGTCATTCTTACTTTCTTCACTTATCAACCCATCTAATATAAATGTGATGAAGTACACAACACATCATAAAAATAATAATAACAGCACCAACAGCCGTAATAATATCTTCAACACATTCAGCTTAAAGACAGAAAGGAGGAAGAAGCTAGCAAGTTTGAAGATCTTTTAATTATATTTATTGTTTATTTTATTTTTATTTTTTCTGTCGATTTTTTTTGCTTTTGCTTATTTTTTCGATTTAAACAAAACGAGAGAATTTATATGTATGAGAAAAAAAAACATTAAAAATTGTTTATCTTTCCATACACACGAGCACTGAAAATGAAACAAAATTGTTTGTATTTCGCCTAAAAGAGCGTATTTTTTAAGGTTTTCAAACTGTTTTGTTGAAATTTTTATTTGTGCTGTTGCTGAGGGAAGATTTTGATGGTTTTGTCGTATTTTATGGGGTTGAGGGTGGGTGGAAGTACTTATTTTTGGACTAGTTTGTGGTAATTTTGTATTGAGAAATCCTCTCGGGTCGAACCATGATGATTCTTTCATCTTGGTTTGAGCTGAATTGGATTCAATCATTTTGGGTCGGGTTGAGATAGAATTGATTATTTTGATTCACATTTTACATCTTTTGTTCATGAATTGTGAAAGTCAAGTTGTCTAAAAGGGGAAAGCATGGGAAGGGTCCTACCTTTTGAGCTGATGTCACTGCGATTCAAATTTGAGCACAATCTGTTTTACCACAACCTTTAAACCTACAGTTTCTAGTAAAATCCAAACCACTTGCAAGCTCTGCAAATTTCAAAGACACGATTAAGTCTATAGACCTGATGTACCATGCAATATACCACGTGTGCGCAAGATGCTGTAATAGTATCATCAATATGCTAGTATATCGTAGTATATCCTAGTATACCTAGCAATGGAGACCACCTTATGTGAATTTATAAAATGGAAAAAGGGCTTCTTAAATCAGACTTGGAATGTGATTGAACCCAGAACCTTTGGAACGTTAGGCCAACACTCTCCCACTTAGGCCACTAGGAGTTGTCTAAGATCAAGATCAAAAACTGAACTACTCACAAAATCGATTCCAATAACTCAAATGTTCTTGTTTTCCCTCGAAACAACAATTTCCATAATCTCATCGCTCCCTCATCGACACATATTGCGTGCAGAACATCGCTTCCTATTGTTATTTTTTCATATCTTACGCAATATTATGATAGATAGCTGTATGTTCATCTCCAACTGCCACTACACAGTTGTTGTTGTTATTGTTGTCAATATTTTTCTTTATTATTTCTATTTCTTCTACCGATGTCATTGCCTTTCCTTTTTTTCTCCATCTTCGATCTCAAGAGTGATGTTTATTATTGAGTATCTGTCGTTTTCCTTTTTTGTTTACATTAAATGCCCACTGCTGCTGCTTGTTTAAGCACACATCACATTTAGATTTCACATAAATAGCTTGCGTTTTGTTATTTTTAGCGGGGTTGTTGATGGGATGATGGGTTAGTAGAGATGCAGATTGTCATTTTATCTTTGATGAATTTGCAATTTTTTTCACTTTTTCAATTCCTTTAAATTTATTTATTTTGCTTTAAAATCCTTCAATTCAACAAAAATGCGCCCTCAAACACAAAATGTTTCCAACTTTATCATCAGCATCAATATTGTTTGTATTTATTTATTTTCTTTACTTTCCGTCTCTCTCTCCCTCATTGGCTCTCTATCTATCTATCCCAAGTGAACGAACATTCAATTCCATACAGTACCATGACACACATTGGTGTCCATCAAATCTATAAAGATATTTGCCTGTTTGTTATGATGTATTCTGTACTGTATACGATGAATATGTGTTTCGATTCACTTGCATGTATGATGTATACATACTTTGTCAGTATCTTCCGGGAAGAAACTGGAAGTCTATTGGGAAATATTTTGAATTATTTCTTCATACTTTGTTGATGTAGGCCATTTGGTCTGGGAAGTTTCGAGTTATGGGAAAATTGTCTGAATATTTTAAAGTCAAAATATTTAAAATTTTACTTCGCCGAGTTTAAAATAGTGAAAAATTACGTTGTACCATAATTCAAGTATGGGTCGTTCACTTATGACGTCCGAAATTAACGGTAATTTTTCAAAAAGGAGCAATGGATTTCCAAGAAATTCTGTTGTTCTTTTCTTACTGACCCCGTACCCGATTAATACGTATAAAATACAGCTTTGCATGATCATTAAAGCTAATTGGGATTCCTTATTGGCTGAATATTAAAAATTGGTCAAATTTTCCAATCAATAGAAACTTTTGCAGGCTCTGTGCGATTCATGCAAAGCATTTAAACAATTAAAATACATGCTTTATTACAGAGCCACATGAGTACCCTCGATGCGTTGGTGTTTGTTACTGAATTTTTAAAAAAAATTACAACTAAGGATTTATTTTAAGGCTACAAGCCGGTTATAAGCGATATGTAGAATGTTCGATCCTAAAATTATCTTATAAATGTGATTAGATGTCATGTGAGCCTATGACGTTGATAATTGTGCTCGAGAAAATATAAATCTAACGACAGGTAGAATTTTGCATCATCAGAATTTTGTTTATCTGAATCTCCGTCATTCGTTTTAGCAATAGGAGAAGGATTGGATCACCAACGCTTTGGTTCATGACACATTCTGTTCAGCCTCCGATTGAAAGTAAATCTTACTGTTTCACTGTCCAGTCTTGTATCTTTAAAATGATTGATTTTTAAATAATTCTTAATTTTAAACAACTGGCAAGTCAAAAAATTTCATTAAAAAATCAAAAAAAAATGTGCAATAATTTTTCATCTTTTCCTCCAAAAAAATTCTTCAATCATTTCAACACCTGTCCTCGTCCGAACCCCAATTTTCCTTCATTCCTGTCACAAATTTTCACATCAACTTAGTTTTTTGCTTTTTTTCCCCTCACCGTTCATTATTTGTAGTTCTCGAGATAGGCAAACAATCTCCTCTTTACACATCGTCACCTTGTCGTCATTCATCGTCCATCGTCATTTGTCGTCCCTTTTTTACATTTTACTTCCTCTATGTACACTTTTTGCATGACAATTCGAAGGTTGGGGATGGAAAGTATGGAAAGAAAAACATTTTGCAATTTATCTCGAATGTGTTTATTGTACATACTGTGTCCTGTCCCTTTTCTTTACTGTGTTGTGTCTACAATAATCTACAAGAACGAATCTTTCTTCACTTCCCATCATGATTCTACTGATAGATATAGCTAGAATAGTCTCACAATGTTTTCTTTGTTTTTGTTTTTGTTACTGAAAAGCAGCAGCAAAAAAATGGGACAACAATAAATATTTTTTTATTTTTCTTTCATTTACCGAGGAGAAAATTGAACCTTTTGTGAGGAGAGGTGGATGATGTGTTAGGAAGTGATGGTTTGGAGGTAAGATGGAAGGGCAACGATAGCCAAATAACCAATTTATAACCATAATTTTGTCTTTAAACTGAAGTGGCTCGGCAGGGGAATTGTTTAGTACTTCTGTACTTAATTATTGCAATACTAACACAGCGATCATGGGTTCGAGACTCAGCATGGAAAATTTTCGCTTGTCTTTTTTCGAACGACATGTTCTGAAAATGATGCTCACAACCTTCCTTTTAAAGCTACAGTCAGTAATGTCCTCAAAAGAGTGGATCTCACTTTAAACTATAGGTTGAACTCCCATTATCTGCAAATCGCCCTAGCACACATCTTGCCTAACACTCAAGAGCCTTGCGATTTAGATTTAGTCCATCTCCAGCCATTCTATAGATTTCAACCCTGACCAGCATCTTTTAAGTCCCCTCCACCCAAATTATCCCCCAAAAAAAAATTATTTTATATCCAACAACACAAAAAAATTTGCTCATTCAATGTCTTTTCCTCATCCTAGCTTGTGTGTTTATTTTTCTTTATGCTGGAACACTTTTTCATGTGTAACTGCTGCTGCTGATGTTGTTGTTTTCATTTCACTTCACATGAAATTATTTCAATTGTAAATTTTTTTCTACCTTTTTATTTTGCTTTGTTTTATTATTTTATTATTTTTTGTTTTACAAAAGGAAATGTAAAGGATTTAATTTGCAGCATAAAGGATGAGTAAAAAATATTTATTTGATTTTGATGATGTGTAAATGGATTTAAATGAATTTAGATAAAAGTTGTTTTTTAAAAAAAGTAGCTCAGCTGTGTTTTTCATTTGGAACTAAGTTAATTCCACACTCATAGAAAAAAAGTAACCATAATATTTGTTATATGTTTGTTAAACTAGTTTAACAAATTATTGATTAAGTTTACATGGGTAAAAAAAATTTCAACCAAACTATTTGTTAAAAATTTTACAATTGAGTTTGTTAAATCAACAAATTTATTTGTTAATAATTGATTTAATTAAATTTTAATTTTTGTATTCAAAACTCTTGTTTGATTAATTTCAAACGATTCCCATTAATTTATTGCGTTATTTTTAATGAGAAAACTGCTTTAAATTGAATTTTGTTGATTTTGTTTAACAAATTAATTTGTTAATTTTAACAAAACATTTGTTACAATGTTTTTATTTGTAATTTGTTTTGGAAAATAATGATTTACAAACCAAATCGTAATTTAAAAATTAAATTTGTTCATTTTTTTAAGTCCTACATTTCTATTTTATTATTCATAAATTAATTTTAAAATTTGGATATATTTTTTAAAGAATTATTTATATTGGTTCTGAATCAAATTTTATAAGTAAAAGTTTACAAGCAGCGGACTAGCGGATCATCAACAGGAATTTAGAAGTTAAGCAACCACGGAAACATTTTAAAATAAGATGGGTGACCAAATTAACAATTTTCTGGTTAATATTAACCGAAAATTTGTTATTTTTTTCTGTAAAAAAAAATTTTAACAAAAAGTTTGTTAAATTAACAATTTTTATAGTTAACAATTCAACCTTACAAATAATTTGGTTAAATTTAACAAATAAGTTCGTAAACACTATTTTAACGAATTGTTTGTTAACATTTTCCATACAAGTTACAAACATTTTGTTACTTTTTTTCTATGAGTGCAACTTTATGAAGGTGATACTTCAGGGTATGCGTCAGAAGAAACTTGATAATCTTGTGTCCATCCAGGTATCAACTTTTGCATTACACCATCAAAACAATGTTGTTCAGTCCAGTTATTAAGTTCATCTCTATCAAATTAGGATATTAGAAAATTAAATAGCTGCGAATTTATTTTAAATTTAGCTCAATAATACACCAACCTCACATATGCAGTAACAAAAGATATGAAACGATTCTTATCTGTCCCTGCAATACTCTAACTTGATAACACATCTCTTGTGTAGTCTTTTAGACTCGTAAATTCATTGTGAAAAGCAGAATGGTTATTAACATAATCATTAATATCTTGATAATAGAGCACAACCTCTCGCAATGGATATTCAGTGATGTGACCTTCAAGATAATAACATGAAGGTCTCGGTTGATTTGTTGTGTCATAGCCAGGAGAGCCAGCAAAGTATTCTGTTGATGAATTTTTTTCATGGTTAAAAGTTCAAATTTGTTTCTTGTTCAAAACTCACCCCTGAAAAAGTTTACAGTTAAAAACAAAACAATTAATAATAACTTCATTTGTTTCCTTCTTTATAAGCTCCTTTATATATTAAGCTTAAAAATTAAACTGATATGCAATTCAAGTGTTTCCAAAAGTTTATTTTGCAGAAAATGCAGCTCACGATTTTTTAATGATAATGAACATTCGTGAATTTCTGACAAACCGATTCCCTTTTAATCGAATATTTTAACCAGTGGACTAGTTTATTATTATAAGTTATTATTCAAGACCAGTGTTGTTCAAACTTTTTTGAGCCATGACAAACCTTAATAGCAATCCATAACCAAAGTCACACATAACATGTGGCTTATGTCATTTCCAACGAGAGCCGACATGAACACTAGTTCTAAGTATAACAGTTTTTAATTGGCTGCTGGACACAACTGCTTAGTGAAGATTATGCGCTATACACTGAGCTAGCGTACATAATATAGATTTAAGAATTATTAATATTAAGAATAAAATTGTAACAGTTTAGACAACACTGCTCTAGAATCTAGTGGGAGCCAACTTTAAGCCACGGCACAACTTGGTGGTAAGGTTTGATTGTCGTCTTGACTATTAGACTTGTGCCATTCAGATTATTTCTCCATAACTTTACACCCTTTTTACTCTCCATCATAACACTAAACACTGCTGATTTGTTTAAAATATTAAATTAAAAAAATAGGCTAGTTCAGTTTTGAAGATGAAATTTCATTTTTAATGTTCTTTTAATTGATAGACTTAAAGTTAAGAAATTCAAGAAGATTCCTCATTAAAAAACTGATGAAATGATCAAAAGATTATCAGAATGAAGCTTTCAGTTCCGCATTCTTATGATAAGATGCATAAGATTAACTTATCGTGAATTGTCAAAAACATGGAAGTTTGGTATCCATCCAGGAATAATATTTCTCATGACATTAGTAAAACAAGTATTTTCGTTCCAATCAATGAGCTCTGATCTGTTGAATCAAAAAAGAAATAATAATATTGGTGATCTCAAGCTCTAGCAACATCCTTAAGTTTTCATGAAATCATCAAAATGTAAGAACTCATTATTAATACATACTTAACATACGATATAACAAGATCTACAAATATATCTTTATCTTGAATTGTAACTTTTTGACTTAGTAGAAGATCCTTCGTGTAATCATTTAATCTTGTTGTTTCGTCATGGTCCACCAAATGGATATCAATAAAGTCACTAAAGTCCTTATAATTTAGTGCAATATCATCGATTAAATTGTTTGCAATGTCATTTTCCAAGTAATCGCACGATGCACTTGGAAATTGAGATTCATAGTCACTTGAGCCAGCAAGACTTTCTATTGGGAGATTAAGATTAATTGTCCTGTTATGCTTTACTTCGTAGGTTAGTTTCTAAACCTATAAGGTACGCTTATGTTGCAGGATATCAATTCCAAATCCTATTCTAGAGTGCACCAAGTAGCTCTAGGAACCAGCCACTGGTTTAAGCTATTTTAATTGACTTACCAAGGAACAAACTTACAGCCAAACACAGAACAACTAAATATAATTTCATATTTCTCAAAAGTTTCCTTTCGACAAACTAAAAATATTTTTGATTGATAGCTTTAAATATAAAATTGTTCGTCTATTTTATTTGAATTTTATATAGTTTAAATTATCAAAAAGACTCACGACTTCTACACATTCTCTACCTTCTGTGACTTGAAGTGGTATCGGAAAAAATTATTGCATTTATCAACGATATACTGTCCGGTAATAATTCACAGTTTACACTTTTGTGTTTGTATACGTATCAATTAATATTATGTAGGATCAAACTTCCAATCTTCAAATCTAAATTTCAAATAAATTCAGGCTCTCGTTTCGATCTTCTGTGAGCGTGAGTTTATACTTTTCAGGTCCATTCTTCGCTTCGTGGGTAATCTTGTAGCTCTCGTTCCTATTTCTTTTGTTACACTTCAAGTTCCTGATCCGTTCCTTAATTCAAAGTTTCCTCAACGTTCAAAAAAGCTGGATTTGAACCGACGATCTTCTAGTTACCATACCAAATTTGAGCCAAGCGCCTTACCTATTTGACCAGCAAGGCACTTAACTGCTAAACGTTTTTAAACTGAAGGGAATTGATTGATGATGATAAATTTGAAATGAAAGAGTGATACTAAGAAGAGCAACAGAAAATAGCAGTGTCTTATTGGTTAGAGTGTTGGCCAATCAGGTCTAATGACCTCGGGTCGATTCAGGGAATGACCAGTTAAATTTTGGGTACTTTTTCTTTGTTCTAGTCTTGGAAACTCGGTTTGTGCTATTTGCGTTGTGCAAATTGTGACTAGGTACATTTTATTGATATTCTCTGGATCATGCAATTGTACAGAATTGTATGAATCAAATGTCCGTAAGGACATAACTGATCAATTTGTATAGACTGTCAATTAAGACATTTTGCCAGCAAGTTAGTCAAGTAAGGGTCGTTCTAAGAACGGTTCGATTTATTTTCTATTTGTTAAAACGATTCAAATATTTTTTGTACATTTTTATGTGTTTACGACTCAAACCATTGAATAATAGCTAGAATTAAGCTCTTCATCATACGCAAATGTAGAAGCTTAAATTAGGGGTCCTATAAGATGTAGCTCAAATGGAAATTCAAACATTGTAAGATTTTTAATTTTCTAAACACGTGAATGCATCTAATTTTAAACTTTCACGTTTTTTCTTATTCTGAAATTCAAATAATTACTATTTTTTATTTTTATTAAAAATTAGATTTCTCTTATTTTTTACACTTTCTAATTTAATCATGACTTTGCTATTAATTTCTAAATTAGTTTTTACTTAAAAATTTTCACATTTATCTCCTGTATATAAAGAAGAATTGTTCAGTTATTATCTTATCATTCACAAGCTCTTAAACCTTCGATTCTTTTTTTTTCTTAAAAAAATTCACTGATTCAAAAATGAAGTTTGTATTTGTTATGACAATGGCATTGGTGTTGGGTAAGTCTTTTTTTTTCAACCTTTAATAAGACTTAAACTTTGAAGACTTTAAACTGCATTTAAAAAGAAATAAATTAAGTACTAAAAATTTGATTTCAAATTTTGTTTCAGGAACCTTTGCAGGCTCACCAAGCTATTATCCAACTTCCGAAATCCCATCATCATCATCCTCATCAGGAGTAATTTGTGATATTGTTCGAGAAATTATTAGAAAATTGACTGATGCAGCTTTGGAAGCACTTAAAGATTACATTCGTCGTCGAATCAGTGGAAGAAGTACTGAAGAAAATCCAAATATTTTAATTGAAGCATTTGAATATTTAAAATCAAATCCAAACGTAACTAATGATGACAGAGATATTTTTGAGGCTTTATTGAATCTGCATACTGTTGAGGGAAAAACTGAATGGGGTTTCGATATTGATGCAGCTTGGGAGTGCTTGAAAGAAATATTTAGTGACTTGTGGAACGAGTCTGAATCGTCAGAATCATCAAAATATTCTTCATCAACAGATTCATAAATGATGTAAAAGGAATCTTTTCAGAAATAAAATAACCAATTTTTGGCTGATTCAATAAACTTATTTATCTTGTAATTTTTTCAAAGTGTGTGTGTTCGACGGGTTTTGTAACTTATTAATCCTATCAGAAATACCCAGTTTTCAAACATGTCAAAAAAGATCAAAAATTAATGACAAAAATCACAAAGAATTAAATAATTAATCCTTGCGATTGATCAAAAATATAAGAGCATACAATCAAGTGGAAGCCAATAATTTTATTGATTTTGCACATATTTCCTCAAAAATAAGGAACACTCATTAAAATCTCAAGTCAGTCGTTCTATCACGGGCGTTATTGAGACAGAGAATCATCAACTCTTCTTTTATCTTTTAATGCAGTCTTGTCCAAACTTTTTGATTTTGAATTTCTAAAGCACACTGGTGTACCAAGGTAAACAGTTTGAGCAACACTGCTCTAAAGCATTTCGGTTTGCTCAAAAGCTATTTAAAGTATGAAATTGCAGCAATTTTGAATGTTTTGATTAATTTTATTCGTACATTACCGTCCTTGTTGGTGAAATCAGAAAACTAGATGAAGACTATTCGTTAGTCACTGGCTCCTTTAAAATATTGAAACATCTAGAAGAAAGAAGCAAACTTCTAGAAGACAAAACCACAGAAAAAAGTATAAGGGCAATTCTACGAGTAAAGGGAACTGCAGAAATTTGCATTGTAAGTTTTCGCTACTTGCAAAAATTTAATTTTTTTTTATCCGTTATATTTCTTGGATAAAAATATTATGTTTCTTTTCATAAAGTGTATTTCTCCGTGATTGTGACATTATTCGTTCTTAAAGTGTAAACTTTAAGGCAAATGAGGCATGAAAAACTAATTAAAATAAGTTTTTCCATATGTTAAGAATATTACAGAAAGAAATTTCAACGGTAATTTTAAATTTAAATTTTTGTAAGCGCTTCAAGCTTAGTCGAAAATATGTAAAATTTCCACCGATTGACACAGTTTTTGACAATTTTTAGCTTAATTAAAGCATTTCTGCTATGTTTTAAGTAAAAGGTTTGTTAAATTTGTGAATTCAAACATCTTTTGGGTAGAGACATAAATCAGAAATGAGTATTTAGTGAAATATTCAACAAATTAATGTACAATATTTTTGTAAATTCCACCGATTGACAGTAAAAAATTAAAATATCTCCTCATACAGCCATTTACTGCCAATAAGATCTATTCATAATGATAGACATTACCTTTTTACATAATTTTAATTAATTTAAATGTGTAAAAAGTCAATGTTTAAAGTTTTTTTAAAAGAATAAAGAAATTTTGTAATTTTTTTCACTCGTAGAATTGCCCATAACTCCGAATTACGAATCCCGAGCGGGACTCGAACCCACGTCCTACGATTTCCGATCGCATGCTCCTCCCACTAAGCTATCGGGGATTAGACGATTATATGGCTAAATCCCATAAATAAGTTACACCATTTTTACTGTTGCCTTGCAACACATGATTTATCGTTGACTGGCTATTCCATAGAATTGCATATTCCAACATAAAAAGTGTTAATTACAAATAAAATTTTCCTTATTCATATCAGCGCTCCAGCTTACTAGCTGAAATACTTTCGTGATAATAAAATAAAATAGGCATCTAGCTGACAGCCGTGACTAGGGTTTTCAATCCTAAGATTGAAATGTTTTTAATCCCGGGATTAAACTTGAGATTCAGTACATTTTAATCCCAGGATTGAAAATCCTAGTCGTGATCATTTTTAAATGAAGAAAGTCTAGTCAATTGAATGCCTACAATGTCATTCAATTCATTTTTCACAAATATTAAAAAAGATTCCTTGAAAAAAATTTAAAAAATTTTAAAATAATTATCAGTGGAATGTTCCTTGAGCTACATAAATAAATGAATTCCTATTATTATCACGATTTTAATACTTATTTACTTTCTCTCAAGTTTAGCCGCTGATTGATTGTTCACGAAGTGCGGAAAAAATTAAACAATTCTTTGTCACATGTTTGTTCTAATTAAGAGCTACCCTTCGGACATCGTGACAACAGTTTTAATTAATTTTCTTTTGTTTACTTTTCTCTGCACAACCAAATTGTGTATATAAAGAAATAGTTTGACTTGGAAATCAACATCAGTTCCAAACACAATTTTGAAGACTAAGAGAAGCTTGAATCCGAAAAAAAATAAAAAAATGAAGTTGGCAATCGCATTTGTGGTTATTTTTGCAGTTGGTAAGTTTTCTTAATCAAAGCTCTAAATCTTTGAAAACCAGTGACCTTAAAAGATTTTAAGTTTGTCAAGGGTTTCGAACTAATCTTAATTACTACAAATTGATTCCAAATATTCAAAGTTGAACAGTTCTGTATGTTTGACGCCCATAGCGGCTTTCTAAAACTCAGTCCAAATTGACCGATTATTAAAAATAAGCGAGTAGTGCAGGCGCTATTACTAAGTTTAAACCTCCAACTTGGAGTCATGGATTAAGTTCCTTTTTTTAATCCAAAGCAATTAATGATACCTTAACTTTTTAAGATCTATCTAAATCCTCTTGATCCAACAAAAAATTAATCTATTCCCAAAACAGGAGTCTTTGCTGGAGCACCTGGCTATTCGTCCTACACCCATCCATTTACATCCTCGTCATCATCATCGAATCCACTTTGTGATCTTATTCGATTCATTATTGCAAAATTGTCCAGAATCGCGTACCTAATCTTCAAAGAATACTGTCGTAAACATATGGTTGGTAACGGAACTGGAAGGATGAGTACAGATGATAAGGGAACAATCTTGAACCAAATTATGAGCGACTTCAATGCTGATAAACAAGTTCCGGATGACGATAAACATATTTTTGATTCACTTTTGAATTTGCCAAACTTTTCTGGTGATGGCGAATGGGGTTTCGATCCTGAAGCAGTTTGGGATTGTTTGAGAGACATCTTCCCAGATTTGTGGAATTAAAAGTGACGATTGTTAATGCTTTTGGCATATTGTTGTAGAGTTAGAAATATGTTTGAAAATAAAAGTAAAATTTATTCTGCATTCTAATTTAATTTTGAATTTTTGGTATTTTTAAGTTGCATCTTGTTTTGAGGCTAGTTTGCCAAGAAAAGAACCTGATTTTAGGTTAGTCTGATACCACGACGTTTTATTTTTGTCACTAAAATTAATCAAGCTTCTAGAGCTACCCAGTTTATTGGTTCTCAATTTTAGGCTTTTTATCCAGTTTAAGTACTGGATAAGGAGGCTTTTTCCTTTGAATGAATGAATGGAGGAACGAACAATAAAATAATAATAATAATAATAATAATAAAAAAAAAAAAAAAAAAAAAAAGGTTGAGCTACCCAAGTAGCTAGTATAGAAACCAATCGTCGCATTAATTCAACTTGCTATACTAAGCAAACTTTTATTTTCTCACTCAAAGTTCTTAATTTATATAAAATCAAGTCATAATTACTTTAACTTTATTCATCAAACATCCATTTAATCCATCAATTATTAATAATAACATTAAATTCCCGTTGAATGCGAATTCGGTGGAACCTCTGAAAGAACTGATGATTGAGGCGGTAAAGTGTGTTTGAAAATTTCGACCAAACAGTGATGAGCCTCAATAATATCAACACCTAAGTTGAACCTCGGAGTAAAGACTGACTCAAGAAACCTTCCATTTACATACATTTCAAACCATGCATTCATTAGCAACTCGTACTCCAAAGCAGGCATTTTATTGACAATTCCTTCAATATATGCGCAATATTCACTTGATGTTGAGGCGTATGTAGATGTGCCACCATTAACTAGGGCTTAAAATGTTATGAGATTTTTTGTTTTCTAATGATTTTATTTTAAAACTTACCAATGAAAAAAATCAACAAAACAATCAAAATTAACTTCATGATTATAATTTTAAAGCTACTAGTTCCTTGTTCTCACAGGAGATGACTGCCAATTTGGAACTAACTAGTATTTTATACCATTAGGAATTTTTTATTTCTAGTAGCTGGCCTTTAAAGACTCACGACATGTTCATTTGACAAAAAAGTTTAAGTACATACATAATTAAGTAAATTTCTTAACCTTATCCTTGTAAGCACTCCTGATAATGACTTTCATGTCTATCTTTAAATAACTAGCTCTGTCGTAAAGTTTAATATACTTGGACTAGGGTTTTTAGTTCCGGTGCTTAGTACAGAAATAAAGAAACTCGTTTTGGATAATTTAGTATATTGAAGAGGCTTTTAGCATACCCGAGCATCAAACATGTTGAAGTTGAAGCGGTGGCAATGTGTTGATATCTTCAAGTTGGAATGATTGTCACTAGGAAAGAGTTTATTTCTATATAAGTGATCAAAACAGCATTCAAAAACATTAATAGCAAAAACCTCAACAGTTCTTGTCTACAAGTGCCGTGAAACAGATTAGACCATGACATAACTCACATACTGCTGTGTCGTCATGCTGGAATATTCACAGAGATGACCTGATTTTCTAAAGTATCAATTCATTAACAAACCCTCACTTTGTAGATCTTCTTATAACTGATATACGTGTAAGCTAATGTAAACAAGTAGGGTTCTATGGGAATCAAACCCACTACCTCAAAGAAAGCGATCTCTGCCCACTCGAATCCCTACCACCCGGCCATCGAGGTACTTGTCTCACTTGGGTTATCCGTCATACACATATAACCAGTTTCAACGCAAGCCCTATGCTCAGACTAGATACGCTCTTCGAGCCATATCCACAAACTTAAACCTATAATGGTACTGCTTTCGAATCGACAACTGACTAAGTATCAAACTTCTTCCTTTATTGCATATTCAACCTTTTATTCCCCTTTTTTCCAATATTTATTTTCCATCCATCCCCTCAAATTCAAATCAAGTACTTTTTGAAATAGATAGGAATATGATAATAAAAGAAAGGATATGGGCAATTGTGACAATTGTTGTTGCTCAAGATTGAGATCATTGAAAGTATAAAAAAATCAAACTTGACATGAGACATCTTATACGTGCATGAATGTCATCCCTTATTTTTTTTCTGGAAGGGTTCGTTGATGTGTGTGACATTCATGTGGGTTAAGGCAGAAAGGATTCAATCCTTTGATTTTTTTGAGGGAAGAAAACTTCATAAACTTCTGACATGCTTCTGAATTTAAGGGGATCATAAAAGTTTTGTGTTATTGCTTGTATATTGTTAATAAACTTCTAAATGAACTCAAGACAACTAGCCTCACACCATGTGCTGCCTGCCATGAATATTGAGTCAATTTAGTCACAAAAATAATATTTTTTTTTATGAACTCACTCGATGCATACGAGTTGGAAGTATTTAATGTCATGCTGTGAGAAAAAAGGATTTTAAAGTTGAAATTTAATTACATTTTGATGTCATACATGAGAATAATTATTTTTTGTTGTGTGTATCATTCTAAAATTGGTTTTGTTTGGAGAATTGATAGGGTAAGGGATGGAAAATTGTTTTTAAATATTTAAGTTTTTGAATCAATTTTTAATTAGATTAAGATAAGAAAATTTGAGAAACATGATATGGGATGGATTAAGGGTTGGGGTTAGGTTGATATTCTTGATATATGGTAGCATTTATGAATGAAAGGAACGATTAAATTGGTTTATAAATCTCAATGAAAGGCACAGTAAACACTTATTAAGCCATCAATTCTAAGAGTTAAATTCTATCATCAAGTCTAGTTGAGTTCAATAATATTACTTAATACCAACGACTTGACTCAAATTAATGTGAAGAACTTTTAATTCTTTTGTTTTAGGACCATTGCATTCAGTTATATATTTCAGCTTAAAATTGGAACATTCGACCTAAAAACACACTTAATTGCGCAAAAGCAGGCTATCTGGTTATAGGACTATAGAAGTTATAGGACATATATGAATTAAAATTGAACTTTGTGACTCAAAACTCTAAACCGAATCTTTTACAACTCTCTTGGCATTTGGTATAAAAATCACATCCCTCAGCTCAAAATACGACTATTCATTAGAAATTGGACTCATCGAGTGTTGATTATACTACTTAATGGAGATATGCACACGGATTCACTCGGCATATGGAGCTTTCTTCAGTTTAAAACAACTCTTAATATCCAAAAATCTATCAAGAGGAACCAAGATCATGTTGTATAAGACGCTGATTCAAGTCATTACATTTTATGGCTCGAAAACCTGGAATTCTATGCAAGCGGATGAGGAAGTTCTTGATGTTTTCGAAAACCAGTATTGCGAGTGATTTATGGACTTGTGAAGGAAGGAGAAAGGTAAAGAAGCCAACACAATGACGATCAATCGCTTGAGATGGACTGGACATGTGTTTAGACGTCTAGAAGATGACAAGTACTTGCAATGACTGTTTCTGGTACTTTATGGATAGCAAGAGATCTAAAGGAAGCACAAAAAATAACTGGATTGGATGATTTGATAAGGACGCTAGAGTCTTTAATATCCCGAACTGTCTCGAAAGATAGAGCTGCCTTTAGACGATCTCTGAATATGGCAATGAGCTCACGTGCGCCCTAGCCAAGAAATTACAAATCAATTTTAAGCAGTCGAGTCAAAATCAATATAAATCCCACCTAGACAGCTTAAACAATTCAATAAAAATCAATGAATATTTCTCAAAATTTTAATCCCCTCTCAAACCTATTAAAACGAAGAAAAACTCAGTCATATTCATAAAATTATTTTATTCCTTCACATTTGCATCAAATTATCCTCCAAAAAAATGACTGAGGATGTTTTACTCGCTACTAATAAAATCATTTTACTAGCTCGTTATAATAAAATCAATCAATTATCGAGATTAAATGCTAATGAATTGCTTTATACAAACAGCACTGAGTCTCTATTAAGTCTCATACTGTAGCTTCCTTCATGACATACAACTCGAATGCCTTCAGATCAATTTTCATATATGCTGATTCATCAAATAAACACCAAAGTAAATAAAGGAAGCAAATTGTTGTGGATGAGTTGGAAAAGGGAAAGAAATTCAATCAATGATGTTTGGCTGTGTGTTGGATGATGATGAATATTTTTAATAAATAGGGTGAAATTTAAATGCAAGTGAGGAAATTTTAAGATATGAGTGATTTGGGATATGAAGGGGATAAGTGCGGTGTTTGATACTTTTTCTGAGATGATACATGAATTTTTGATGATTTTTAGTGTTGTTGCTTATCCTTTAAGTAAGGATGTAGTGTATTTAAGCTGCTTGGGTCTAAAAGGGGTCTGAAACTACGTCAATAATTGTCTTAAGTTTGTCCAATAATGCGTTTTTTTAATTCATCGTCTTTCAAACTTCCTAACTTGCTTATCAAATGCCTGCCATTCTTAAGAAACCTCATTAATTCCACACCCCTGCATCCATTCTTTCTTCATAATTCCACCTAATAAACAACGAAATGCAAACAAAAATCAGCGATACGTGAAAATTTTTATTCCTTTTTTTTCATAATTTCAATTCGTTCTTCTTTATTTGATTGTTTTCTCATCTCAATACGTACAAAAATAAAAATTGAGTACGCATAACAATGTGATGCCAAATGAAAATAAAAATTTGTAAGAAATGCGAGGATAAAAAATTAAACGAAACGAAAAATCAACATTTTAAATTATTAATAAATAAAGAATGAAAAATATTATATTTGCATGCAGGAACAATGGTTGGGGTTGGAGAAATGTTTAGTAAATTTTTCTTGGTGGAATAATTTGAAGGTTGGAAGATTGAGTGGCGGTAATCAGAGTTGTGGATGATTGTGGGGTGCTGTAAGGATGTTAAATCAATGAATTTGAGGCTTCTTGGGTCATATTAAAATAATGTTAGCAAATCTAGTCTTAAAGTTAAAAACTGAGCACAAAACCAAGATTTTTCAATCTTTTATTTCTTATTTTTAAAATCCCAACTTTATTAAACCTCAAAGAATGTTCCACATTTTTGCATATCCTCCCTCTTTGTTTACTTATTTACATTTTTTCTTATTTTTTTCTTTTTTGTTGGTAGAAATGCGTTCTAATAAAAGATATTTTTATCATTTTCTGCATCAATCGATGACAGAGTTGGCTCAAGTTGGTTTTATTGGTTATATATGCATTATGTTGAGTCAGTTGAGTAGCTAGAACTTATAAGAAATGAAGAATCTAACAAAGATTATTCAGTCTCACTAGCTGCATCAGCATAATAGGTGCTTATTAGCTTGACTGATTTTTAACTATTTTTTTCCAGAGACTTTTCCCTTATTTGAAGCACAAAAGTGTCTTAGAAGCTTAGACATGCTCCAAAAAATCATAGCTATAGATCTAAGACCAGATAAAATCCCAAATAATACAAAATTCATAAATTTACAACAACTTTTATACGAAAAAATATCAAAAACATCAAGCAAGTAGAAAATGCTTGTTCCTGAATTCAGGCAAACTTTTGCAATGTCGAAAACATTAAACTAAATTTTTACATTTGCATTTCTTTGTTTTTTCGGTGTCGATTGTTGTTTACTTTCTATTCCTTATTATTTTGCGTGTCATTTCCATATTCCTTACTTGAATTTCTTTTTGTTTGGTAAATTATGTTGTTTATTTTGATGAAATTTCTCTGAAGATTACAAACTTTAGGGATAGGTTTCGAATCTATGAAGATATTTAATTTTTCATTCAATGCTCGACTTTTTGACAACAAATGCAATTCGCCTGCAAGTTAGTTAAACTTTGAAAAGACAATTTCAGAAAAAAACTCGGGATTCCTTATTTTCATTAGTTTAATTTGTTTTTGTACAGATTGAATAATGAAAAATTTTAAGTGTGAATTTTGAAACCGAAGTTCTAGATCCTAAGGATTGGCTGACTTATGGCTTAGATTTTCAGAT